GATTTAAAGGTGATGGATCCAGGACAATCTACTAACACTAAGAATACTGAGAAGAAAAGAAAAATTGTTTATGGAAAATATAATGAAAGTTATTTATCATTTGGGTTTACTTGGAGATAAAATGGACCTTTAACCTCAATGTATTGTTTGCGATGAACTATTGAATCAAAGTATGAAACCATCTTTTCTTAAAAGAATTCTTGAATCTAAGCATGCCAATAATTTAAAGGATAAATCTGAAAACTGTTTTAAGAAGAAATTATCGGAGTTCAAAAACACTAAACAAGTAATGAATGGTTTTGTTATTTTAAGTGAAAAAGCTAGTCACCTAGTTTGGGAGCTAGTTACCTAGTAAGCCTAAGAAATTGCCAAGACTGGGCAGGCTCACACTATTGGAGAAAACCTTATATTGCCAGCAGCTAAAGATATCGTTTTGACATTATTCTACGAAAAAATGGCTAATGAGTTTAATAATATTCCGTTATCAAATAATGCAATAAGTCGGCGAATTCATGAAATGGCAAATTCCGTAAAAGATACACTTATTCAAGAAATAAAACAGTATTTCGCATTGCTGTTGGATGAAAAAGTACTGATATAACGAACTTTGTTCAATTACTAATTCGGCGTGTTACTGTGCCTTTATTTGTTCAATTATTAGAAAATGATAAGCGAATTGCCGAAATGTATTTATTTTGTGAATCTCTTCACGATAGAGCAACTGCAAATGAAATTTTCAAAGTAATTGACAATTTTATGTCTGATAATGATATTTTTTGGAATAAGTACATTGCAGTGACGGAGCTCGGGCTTTAACAGGAAAACTTTCCAGCGTTATATCTCAAATATAGAAAGTCGCACCTGAAACTAAATTTACTCAATGCTCCATTCATCATGAAGTTTTAGTAGCCTATACAATCCCCGAAAACCTAAAAATTATTTTCAATCAAGCTGTAAAAATTGGTAATTTTATTAAATGCCGAGCATTAAATTCAAGAATATTTACGATTTTATGCCAAGAGATGGGCAGTGAACATGAAACGCTTTTGTTACGTTTCGAAGTAATGTGGCTATCCAGAGATAAATTTAAATCGTCTTTTTAAACTTCGATCAGAAACTCATATTTTCCTCCGTGATTCAAAATTTGAATTGCAAAATTGTTTATTTAGTGAATTACGGTTGGCGCGTTTAGCATATTTAGCTGATATTTTTGGAAAGTTCAATGAATATAAATTTAGGATTACGAGGACAAAGTGTTAAAATTTGTTTATCATTAGAGATAAAATCAATGCAATGATAAAAAAACTGGATCTATTAATTACAGATTTGGATAATAATATTTTAAACTTTTTTACCACTTTTAGAAATTTTTTAACTGAAAATAATTTGAAAATAAAAGAATAATTATCCGACATTACAAATAATTTTTTTTCTTATTGATAAATAATTTGAACGTGTATTTTTCCGAGCATTATGGAAAAGAAAATTGGATTAGAAATCCATTTTGTTCAAATGTACCTGAAATTTTATCTCATGAAGAAAAGAGCAATTGTTAGAAATTTTCTGTGATCGAAATTTAACTGGAGATTTCAAAAATAACTCAGTTTTTAACTTTTAACTGAACCGAAAACAAGAATTTAAAGGCATTTCAAATAAAGCTATTACAATGTTATTGCTTTTCTGTGCAACCTATTTGTGCGAACAAGGATTTTTCTTCCATGTTATATTTGAAAAATAAAATACAGAACAGAACTAAAAGTGGATCCTAATTTACGGTTGAAACTAAGTGAAATAACAGCAGACATAAGAAATTGATCTCTCTTAAACAGGCCTAAATTTCACACTAAATTTTAGAATTAAAGTATTATAACTTAAATTTTGATAATTAAAATGGTAACTAATTTTTAATGTAATATTTTTATGTATGCATATTAAATACAAATAGCCAATAGGTTGTGCGAATGGCAAAATGTATACAGTTTTTAATATTTCTATTGAGAAATTGAAAAATAACTATTGCCAAATGTTGTGGTGGTACCAAAGTTCTTCAATTGCTGTTTAGATGGTACGCATTAGTCAGAAGGCTGAGAACCGCTGCAATAGGCGATGGTCCGCGTAGAAGGAATGGAGATATGAATCGGCACCAGGACCAGAGCTGTAGGCATAATATTTGGATTAACAGGTGCATAATTCATGTTCAAATCTGCATGTGTGAAGCTCAGGTCTCGGCATATCATCACCTTCATTGTTGGCGTCGATGACGCGAATTGTATTAGGAATTACGTGCGTCCAAAACTTTAATTCCGACATTCAACCTTCCCTCTCACGCGCCAACGAATAGGTCCTTTCTCTAATAATCATTGGGACTTGCTTGATTTTTCTCTATACCTCGGTCTAGTATATGACGTTATTTTTTCATATTAATTATGTGTGTATTACGATGCCACATAAAGTTTGTCATACGTTTATAATGACAATCCCATACAAAAATATTTTGCATTGCACTTATTCATAAAGAAATGACACCTTATACAGTGCTTAAATTGCGCCGGAGCGCGGCTCCGGTACTTCTCAAGTTTTAAGATAAATTACAATTTTAGCCGGAGCGCACCGGAGCCCTAAATAAGATGAGCTCCGATACTTCCTTTTATAAAAACTGAACCACAATTTAAAGAGAAAAAAATAGAATTCCTAACGTTTTAGTTTAACAGTAAGCAGACTGTTTAGTATTTTTTTGTTACCAAACGAATTACTAGTGTGTCTTTGCAACAATAGATGGCATTGCTGCCTGATGATTCAATTCTGGTTGCTATGGTAACGAACTTTCAACTCATAATTTATGTGATTTGAATTCTACTCTTTTTTGTTTGTTTTTTTTAATTGCTACAATGCTTGGAGTGATGTGAGCTGTGTCGTCATGTGCACGGCATTCCTTCTATTTAAAAGTGTTATGTAAAATAAATAAGTGATAATTACAGTCCACTTACCTTTGTTTTTGTGACTTATTCTTAACATTCCTGGTCCGTAGCGACCGGAGAGAAGAGTTAGCGATCTTTGGATATGATGTGATTTATTCAAATATTAGCAAGTTAAATCACTTTCGATTTGTGGATTAATAATGTGTACTTTCGATTCGATTTGTGGATTATGCGTGTGGCATCTATGGTGAAATCAGTTTCGATTTGTGAAATATTCCCGTGGCATGGTGTAGCGTAGAAACCTCAACATTGGGGTGAGTACGTTCCAATATTTCATCTTCTTTTGCTAGAGTTGTTAGTATAATATTTATTGTTATTCATAATGGCTGATTTGAAACCAATTTTAACTAAAAAGAAGGTTCTAAAAAGCAATATAACAACGTTTAAAGGCAAGGTAAATTCGAATTTAGAACAAGCAGAAATTTTAGAGGTAAAGTTGTTCGAAACGAAACTAAATGCTTTTAACAGTGAGCTTCGTTCTATTTATGAGGAAATATTTTTGTTGTGTCCTGAAAAAGATTGTGATACATTCATTACGGAACAACAAACAATACAAGAAACTTTAGATGAATTATGGATAACTATAAATAAAAAGTTACAGAAACTTTCCAGTGACTCTGTTATCGAAACAAATAGTGTAGCAAAAGTAAATTCGTCTGACGTTCGATTACCAAAATTAGAACTTTCTACCTTTACAGGGGAAAATATAGAAGAGTGGATTAGTTTCTATGATCTTTTTAAGGCTAGTGTAGATAACAATTCGAATATTTCTAAATGTCAGAAGTTTCAATATTTAAAGGCTTCTTGTAAAAAAAAGGCTCTGTCTATTATTGAGTCAATTCCTATTTCTGATGCTAATTATGATATAGCGTTGCAACTTTTACAGGAACGTTATTCTTATAAAAGAGAATTAACTAATGCATTAATCCGTAAAATGTTTTATTTGCCAAATGTTTCTGATTCAGCTCAAGCTATTTTACATTGTGTTGATGTAGTGAATGAATGTGTACGCTCTTTGAGATCTCTTAAGCTAGAAGTTTTTTTATCTTTCTGATGTTCTTTTTGTTTATATGATAACTGAGAAGTTAGATAAAAACATAAAATTTTGGTGGGAAAGAACTTTGAAAAAAGATGAATTAGGTACTTTAGATAATTTACTCGAGTTTCTAAAAGACCATGCTAGAACCCTTCAGAATAGTAGAAACCAATTTAAAGATTTTAGGAAATTTTCTAATTCCAAATAAACTTCTTTAGTGTCGAGTAAATAATGTGCAATGAAGATCATTCTCTTCACAAATGTAGTAAGTTTTTAAACTTAAGTGTCCAAAAAAGAATCGAATTTGTTAAGAAACACAAACTTTGTTTCAATTTTTTATCTTCTCAGCCTCATTTAGTGAAAAACTGTCGTAGTTTACATAAATGTATGACGTGTAAGTTACCTCATCATACTGTTCTTCATTTTGATCGAAATATCAAAACTAGTGAAAATGAGAAACCAAAACAAACGTCCTCACTCTCCCCCGCATTCGTGAGCCGAAGTGTTCTTACCAAAGAATGAAGTCGTTACAAATGCCACAACATGTACAGGACAATTTAGTTATTCTGAAAGTGAATCAAAACGTGTATTACTGTGTACTGCTCTCATTAAAGTTAGTGATTCCAATGGTAAAGCCATCCCTTGCAGGTCTTTACTAGACTGTGGCAGTGAAGCCAGCTTTATAAGTGAAGAGTGTGTCAGAAAACTAAAGTTAGTAGATTTAACAAAAAATTGAAGTTTCGTGCCTTGGTTCGTTCAACACTGTAACAAGTGGAGAAGTGGAATTAATTTTTATCCCGCACTTTGAGTCAAATTTCAAATTTCGAACATATGCATTCGTGAATCCAAGGATAACTTCAGATGTGCCTAACGTGTCGCTTCCTTCTAAAATTGCGAATCATTTTGACGATCTAGTCTTAGCTGATCCTAAGTTCTATGAAAGAAAACCTATAGATATTTTGTTAGGTGTAAATGTATTTTTTACTATGCTTAAGGGAGACATCATAAAGAGAGGAGAATCATTACCCTTTGCAATTTGTTCTCAGTTGGGTTGGATCATTTCCGGGAACACTATTACTGATGATTCGAATCTAACTAACACTTTTACAGTGAATAATCTTCAGTTGAATACAAACGAATTAGTTGAAAGATTTTGGTCTTTAGACTCCATTCCGGAAGTCAAACGTATTTCAAGTGAAGATAAAAAATGTGAAGAGTTCTTTAAAACAACACACTTCCGTGATCAAAATGGTCGTTATGTAGTGAAACTTCCATTTAAAGATAACCCTTCAAGGTTGGGTAATTCTAAAGATCTTGCTTTACAAAGATTTAAATCTTTAGAGAGAAATCTCTTAAGATCTCCTGATACATATGATATGTATAAACATTTCATGAAGGAATACTTGGATCTCGGGCACATGGAACCAGTCCGTAGTTCAGAGTCCCCAAGTCAGGCATACTACATGCCACATCATGCAGTAATTAAGGAATCTAGCTCTACGAGTAAAATACGTGTGGTATTTAATGCTACTAGTAAGTCTTCATCAGGACTATCTCTTAACGACATATTGATGACAGGTCCCAGAATACAACAAGAGCTGTTTCCAGTTTTGGTCAAATTCAGATGTTACCCAGCAGTTGTCACAGCTGATATGAAAATGTTTAGACAAATTCTAGTTAATGAAGAGGATAGAAACTTTCAAAGGATATTTTGGCGGGACAGTCCAAGTGATCCTATTCAAGAATTTCGACTTAATACTGTCACATACGGCACTGCCTCGGCTCCATATTTGGCTACTCGTGCTTTATACCAACATGCCTACGATGGGCAGAAAAAGGCTGTACTTCAAAACTTTTTTGTAGATGATTGTTTGGTAGGTGCTCAAAACACTGAAGAGTGCAAAAATCTAGTAAATCAACTCTTGCAAATGTTAGAACGTGGAGGATTACTTCTGCGTAAATGGTCATCCAATGACTTGTCAGTGTTAGAGAATATACCCCAGGAGTTGAGAAATGATTCTGAGGCTATGAAAATTCAAGACGATAGCTCAATCAAAGTTTTAGGAATTAATTGGAACCCCCGTGAAGACTACTTTAACTTTTCCGTATCCATTTCTGGTGAAAAGTTTAAATACTCTAAAAGAGATATCCTTTCTGATTTAGCGAAAATATTTGACCCATTGGGTTGGCTTGCTCCTTGTATTATTTATGTCAAAATCTTGATACAAGACATGTGGAAACTCCATTTATCGTGGGATGAACCTGTTAGTGATGAGATTGCTAACAAATGGAAGATTTTCCGAAATGATTTACATCTTATTCAACAATTAAAAATACCGAGATTTGTTTTGATTCCTGACGTGAACTATATTGATATCTGTGCTTTTTGTGATGCCTCCGAGAAAGGCTACTGTGCAGCAATTTATTTGCGTTCAGTGTCACGTAATTTGGACATCAAAGTAACACTCTTAACATCAAAAACAAATTCCCCTCTGAAAGTGCAATCATTACCTCGATTACAGTTATGCGCCGCAGTTTTGTTAGTGAATTTCCTTAAATCAGTGTTAGAACATTTAGAGTTTCCTATACGTAAAGTTTTGGCCTGGACAGATTCAACTGTTGTACTGTCCTGGATTTCTGCAGAACCATACCGTTGGGTTCCCTTTGTTGCAAACCGCGTTGCTAAAATACAGAATACAATTCCTAATGTAAGGTGGAACCATATCAATGGAAAGCGGAACCCAGCTGATTCAGGTACAAGAGGAATGTTTCCAGCAGAATTTCTGAAGTGTGAGCGATGGTTCATTGGACCTACTTGGTTATATTCACAAGATTACGAACCATGTCCTGACAGTGAACATCTTGCTGATGTAGATTATGAAGGAGTTCGTAGAGAAGAAAGAAAAACTTGCATTTCAGTATCTTGTGCGGTAAAGGAAAATGACATTTTTAAACGGTATTCATCTTGGACAAAATTACGTCGTATAGTTGCATTATGCCTAAGATTTATTTACAACTGTCGAAACTTCTCCGAAAATCGTTTGAGAGGTTTTCTGACAACCGATGAACTTCGATTAGCTACAAAACAGTGATAAAAAATGTCCAAGAATCATATTTTCCTCAAGAGCTCTCTTATTTAAAAACATCGAGAGAATTAAAAGGTGTGAGCAGCCGAGTAATACAATTAACTCCCTTCCTTGATGAAGAAGGCGTCATTCGAGTAGGTGGTCGCTTAAAAAATGCAAACATTCCTGAAAATAGCAAACATCCTATTTTGCTTCCAAAGGAAGGACATGTCACTAATCTCATCGTAACTCATTACCATGTCAATTATTTGCATGCTAGTCAAGAGTTATTAATAAGCACTTTACGAATGCAGTTTTGGATTCTTGCGGTGAGAAGCGTAGTGAGAAAGATTATTCACAGATGTATTCCTTGTATTAGAAATCGAGGCAAGACTGTGACCCAGATAATGGGTGATTTACCCTCGCCCAGAGTTCAACCATCAAGACCTTTTGCAGTCACCGGTGTTGATTATGCTGGTCCATATTCTATTAAGTCCCAAGTTGGGAGAAGAACAAAAACTTTCAAGTGTTACGTATCCATTTTTGTGTGTTTCTCAACAAAAGCTGTACACTTGGAGTTAGTCAGTGATCTATCAACTTCAACGTTTTTAGCAGCTCCAAAAAGATTTATCGCCCGACGAGGCAAACCATCTAAAATTTCGAGTGACTGTGCTACTAACTTCAAAGGTGGTAGTAAGGAACTGAAGGAAATTTATAAAAATGCAGCACGCATTGAGAAAAGCAGTGAAATTATGTGACTACCTTACCTCAGAAGGTATAACTTGGTTATTTAATCCTCCGACATCTCCTCACTACGGTGGCTTGTGGGAATCTAATGTGAAATCCATGAAATTTCATCTTAAACGAGTATTAGGATCCACACTTCTAACTTACGAGGAATTTTTAACAGTGCTTACACAAGTGGAAGCGTGTATGAATTCCCGTCCTCTTTGTGCGATGTCTAGTGATCCAAACGACTTTAGTGCATTGACTCCAGGTCATTTTCTGATTGGAGCCCCTTTGCTTGCCATTCCGGAATCTGACTTGAGTGATGTGAAATCTTCACGACTTAAACGTTGGTCTCTAGTTCAACAGACTGTGCAACATTTTTGGAAACGATGGTGTGCAGAATATTTAACAACACTTCAACAACGTGCTAAGTGGTTTCGTGCGTCTCCAAATCTAAAATGTGGTGATTTAGTTCTGATCAAAAACGAACAACTGCCTCCAAACCAATGGAAAATTGGAAGAATTGCCTTAATTCATCCAGGTAGTGATAAAAAAGTTCGAGTGGCTACAATCCATACAGCCGCTGGTGATTTCAAACGAGCTGTTACTAAATTGTGTCTTATCCCCAATCATGACTAATATGAACTATGAACTATTGACTTTTTTCATATTATTGAACTTTAATTTTAGTTATATTTTCAATTAATTTTTTTTTTGTTAATGTTATTATGTATGCTTTAACTATTTGTCTTTTTTGAACCCTTAGAAGGCTTCAAGGCCGGGGGCTATGTTTAGTATTTTTTGTTACCAAACGAATTACTAGTGTGTCTTTGCAACAATAGATGGCGTTGCTGCCTGATGATTCAATTCTGGTTGCTATGGTAACGAACTTTCAACTCATAATTTATGTGATTTGTATTCTACTCTTTTTTTTTAATTGCTACAGTGCTTGGAGTGATGTGAGCTGTGTCGTCACGTGCACAGCATTCCTTCTATTTCAAAGTGTTATGTAAAATAAATAAGTGATAATTACAGTCCACTTACCTTTGTTTTTGTGACTTATTTTTAACACTGACCTTGCAGATCTATTTCCCTAGAAATACGAACTCGTGAGAACATGAGACGTTCATGCGGAAGTCCCCTCACTCACATGCGGAAACCTTTCCCTTTAAGAAGGGCAATAAATTTGGGGGGAGTTTGTTTAGGAACGCGTAAATTTCTCACCATGCCATCGTATCTAGTATATTGCTATCGATGCTTACAGTTAGTTTTCTCGCTGGAAGGATGTGTTCTTAAATGTGCTTTAAGTGACAGCGAGTACAATAAGAGTGAAATACTGAGATAAAACTGCTCAAGCACGTCCTATACATCGTCTTCCCACAGTATCCACTAATGGGGGAAAAAACTTAACCAGCAACTTTAATTCATCCTTAGGAGTCAGATTCAAAACTCGTTTTACCCCTGGCACACATCTGCTTGATGGCTTTAATTATACCAGCAGAGAGCCGCGGTCAAACAGAACGTTCTCTCTCACCAACATTCCCCTCATTTTTTGTTTCCACCTACTCATACCCTCATTCTGTTTCGCCCTGGAATTTTCATCAGTTATACTTTAAGTATAATTTTTGTGATGATAAAAGAACGTTTTCCCCCCACCCCTACGATCAGAGTTTAAATTGGGCCGGAGCCCACCGGATATCGGTTCCGGTGCTTCTTACTTTTTGCAATAAATCATAATTCTAGCCGGAACGCACCAGAGCCCTGAATAAGAAGGCTGCTGCACTTCTTTTATGTAACTGAATAACAATTTCAGTAGAAATTTTATCTCGAAAATTTTATTTTAACAATAAAAACAATAAAATTGTATTAAAAATCGCTTATTAAATTTCAATTTATCTCTTTACATTTTATTTAATTACTTCAATCTTTAATTATTTCAATAAATAATAATTAATTATCTTATAATCAATTAAATTACAATTAATTAATAATCTAATAATTATTGATTAAATAACAATTTATAAACATTAATTAAGTAGTTATTAATTAATTTGATAATAATTAACTGTTTAATTTAAAAATTATTAATGAGTTTAATAGTCATTTTATTTATTTATTTACTCTTGCTCCTCTTTGCTGACGGTCTTCCATAGGGCTCCGGCACTTCTAATCGTAGAAATTAAGCCTTGACCTTATAACTACAGAGCTTACACCACAAGATTTAATGAAATTTTTTTTTCGCCTAGGTTTATTTGATAGTATTGCTACTGAACTGTTGTTTTTAACTATTGTTGCAATAATGTGCATTACTTTATTTTGCTTTTTACTTCCCTGCACGAAGTATTGTAATAACGAAAAATTCTGAGTACCATATTGCAATGAAAATATCCATTTTGATTCCTATCGAATGTAATTTAACCATGTTTTTGCGGACATTTGTACGTAAGGATAGAGTAAAGGACTCTGCCCAAACGGAATTATAAAACTGATTTAAAATGTATTCAGAAGAATTTTTTTTTTCCGTGGCGTATGTACGAGTATCTCGCAAAACTCAAAAACGAGTAGACTCAGAACGTTGAAATTTTGTTTATAGGACTGCTATAACATGCAGATGTGCACCTCCCATTTTGGTTGCAATCGGCCGCACCAAAAAGTATATAAATATATATATACACATACCTACTCTGTTACTCCGCTCAGTTTTTTTATTTTTATAAGTTGGTAAATTGTGCTTTTTTTTTCTTTAAAAATGATTGAATTATGTTGTTTGTATCTTCCGCTTAAGATTTTCATGCCTTTAGTCTGTATGCAATATTTGTAGAATTATCAACAATTTAAAAGTTAAGATACAAAAGCACGCCGAAGAAATATTAATTTAGAAGTCAAACAACAAAAATCAGCGTAATATTTTTAAAATTTTCTTGTTTGACTTCTAAATTAAATTAAAAGTTGTTTAAGGGCACCTAGTTTTTTTTTTTTTTTTTTTTTTTTAGTTATAATGTTTAATAATGAAAAATTCTGCATAAATGATGTGTCTATTGTGATAAAACAACGCATTGTGATAAAACAACGGTACATAGAGCATCGAATTTTGAATGACGAAATCCTACCTGCGAATATGGGCATCTGAAAATCCCAAATTTGGAATTTGTTTTATTATAGATTTTATATTTTGTAAAACTTTAACGAATTTTTGATTTACAAACTCAATGCTTTAAAAGCGAGAAATGGCAACCTTATATATATATAAAAAAAAAAAAAAAAAAAAACTTTTATCTCGAGCTCGCGAGACTGTGTATATCGGAAATTCTAAAGATATGCTTAATTTAACATTATTTTGCTATATTGCTCTTGAACTGAATTTTATGGTTTAAGTGCAAAGAACATGATATTTAATAAATAAAGGTAACACTCAAAACGTTAAAAAAACGCCCCTTTGGACGTAATTTAAAATCTGAAAAATTTCAGATTTTTTTTTTTTTTTTTTTTTTTTTACATAACAGCCATATTTCTTTACATTTGAAACTTAGCAGAATAGTGAATTAATTCTTTCTGCATCGTCAATGTCTTTTTGCCGAGTGGAACCAAAAGGAAACTTTTAGTTTCATGCATTTAAAAATCTGCCTTTTTTGCGTAGAAATTGCAATTTTAATTGTAAAAACTGTTTTAACTGTACTTGGTGTTTTACGTTTTTCTATATCTTTCAATTTTTAATGAAAATATTTTGAGTTTTAGCATTTTTGCCTTGCTGCAAAGCGAGAACTGAATTAATTGAATGAGAAATATACCTCTAATGAAATTTGAGGAAATAAGTTTTTCGCATTAGGAAAAAAAAAATTGTCGCCAGTCTGTCTCGGACATGACAGTCAGAGAATGTTTACGAGTAGCGCATGCGCATTAGGTGTTAGAAACCAGCCTCAGTTGTTATTTTTCTTTTCATAGCTTGTGACTGTAAGCGTGGCAACTATTTAATTTTTGTTGTAGTTCTACGCATTTTGAAAATAAATGACGATTTAGAATTTTATATGTAAAGTTATTTTATTTTAAGTTTATTAGGAGAAAGGAGAACGAGTAGTTCTTGCAAATCTCGAACAATTTTGGTGACGACGGAAGTGATCGGTAAAAGAAGTCAAGGTAATTTTATTGGTTATATCGAATTTAATTCCATTTGACTTTATTGAATTTATTTTTACTGAAATGGAATCGTTAATTGAGAAACGAAAACCTGTCAGAGCGTCTTTTACGAGAACAATTAATGCAATTTTGCAGGAATTAGAAAAGGAAATTCCTGATGAAGATTTTATAAAAACGAAACTTGTTACTTTAGAACGTTTATCTGTTGAACTTAATGCATTTCTAGACGACTAATCTTGTTGGAACAGTCGAAGATTTGTGGACCAGTAGTCAGTTTACAGCCTGGACCATGGATAGAAGAACTAAGGCAGAAAAATATCCATGCATCTGATGTAGGAAAAAAGGATTTGAAAATAGAAGTTCTTATTGGAGCTGACGTCACAGGTGTTCTGTTAACCAGAAGAATTCAGAAATTAGAAAATGGGTTGACTGCCGTGGAATTACTACTTGGATGGACAATCATGGGAAAGATAAAATATAACGTTTCAGAAAGAAACTCCTTATCCATGTCTTCAACAATAATGTCGATGTCGACTCACAGCAGTGACATAGAAAACTTGTGGAAGCTAGAAGCACTGGGAATTACAGATGCAAAAGAAAGTAAAACTGATTCAGAGTTAGAAGAAGCAGTGTGGGATCACTTTCACAAGACTCTGAAGAGGGTGGATGGTCGCTATGAAGTCAGTTTACCTTGAATCAACGATGAAGAAGCTTTACCAAGTAACAGATAAGTTGCTGAAAAGCGATTGATTTCCACGACAAAGAAGCTCGTGTTGAAAGATAAATTTGAAACATACAATGCAGTGTTCGAAGAATGGCTTGAATCCGGAGTAATAGAAGAAGTAACAGAAGAAGAGGAATGAGTTAACAATCATTATCTTCCCCACAGACCGGT